ACTTTTTTCCTACTCGCAAATCATTCCCGTTTAATTTATTCCTTGTTTAATTTAAGGATGCTGAAAACATTTGCCAATTACTCCCTATGTACTGTCTGACGTACATTCTTTTGGATAACCAATAAATGTTCAGTGTTCATCGACCAAATTAATTAACTTTTAGACACGTCAGTTAACGGGTGTAACGGGTGATGTTATAAGTACGATTTTGAGGTAAAAACGGAAAAATGGTTTTCCCAAATTTTTCTTCAACGCCAATCTAATGACACCATCTAGTACTCCAAAACCCTGCCAGCGATTTTTCTCAATAGCCTTAGTTCAGATTTTATAGTTGACAAAGCAAAATAATGCCTTTGTTTAATGAAAATCTGTAATAAGGGGCTCATAAATGCATAACAAAAACATTTAACATACACTTGTGGTCAATTTTTGTGATAAAATCTGGTTCAGGGATGAAGTTACGCCTTATACCTATTGCTATCTCTCTTCAAAATAGAAAGGTGTAAAATTGATGATAAAAGCTTAGGGTTGCCTGTGGTTATGCTTGGCAACGAGAAATATAAACGCCAATATTTAATGTTTTCAAGAGGATTTTTATTGTTTTAAATCATGGCAAAGGTAGGTGCATTATTGAATAATTGGGTGCAGGAAAAACCTCATTTTCGGTATCGGGAAGATACAGGTAATAACCTTACAGTGCCCTTAATGATTTACTTCTTCTATTGAAAGACTGGCTTGTCATGTCTTCCTGGACATTTCAGAAGGAACTATTGTCAATTGCCTTTACTTGAAGGGTTTCACCCTGAGAGATAGCTTGAAACAAAAGCTCTACACTACAGCCTACCAAATGATTCATTGACTGATCTAACCAATAAACACGAACGAATCAAAGCGCGGTTTGTTCAAATCCTGACCTTTCAAAGTCTACATTTTGTTGTGCTGCGCCAATAAACAAACCCACGTGTTGCTCTAGTAATAGAACATATTTCTAGAATGTCATCCAATTAGCGTTTTAACCAAACTTTTGCGAAAAATCTTGAAAACATGGCTTAATAAATTGGTCATTAGATTGGCTCAATAAACTACAGGATCTGGTCAGAGGAGCAGTGTAACTTGAAACGCCAGGGTATGCTATAGTGTAGAGGTTTATTTCAAGTTATTTCTGAAGCACAAGGTGGGAGAGATCGGTAGTTTTGTAAGATATGAAGGCATGTAAAATATGGTTGTGGGAAATTATCATAGACCTATAGAGTACCTTTAATCAATGTAACTACATCTAAACGAAGTGAACCATTTGATGGCAGTGTTTTATTTTTTTTATTTTTTTATTTTTTATTATTATTTTTTTTTTATACGGCGGTAGCGCTTTGTGAGCAACAACCAAAAGCTGTTGCATAATATCAGATAACGGGTTTAAAACTTTAAAGAAACTGTGTAAATAGTTCAGCCAGTTGCTGTCACGCATTCAATAAGAGAGCATTGAACTTAGCTTACATATCGCCATGGTGACGTTGAGGTGTTACATAACAACTGTTACCATGTTGCTTGGCACAAATGTCAAAACAGTTCCAGGTCCACGCGTCCCAGAACCGACTCTTCTTCTGTGTCGTTCTACTCGTATTTTCGCCTTCAACTCATTTCCAACATGTGACAAATGCTTGGGAAATACATTTTGTTTGGCAACGTTACAATTTTAGTACAAAATCAGCTGAACCAGTTAAATGAAACAAACAGCGGATGTTAATTACAACCCATATTGAGGCCGCGTGACACTAACCTGCGTCCATTTACGTCATATGGTGGGATATAATTCGTGACCTTGAAATCAAAAAGCAGTATTTGCACGTTTTATGTTCTCTTTCATGGATGAAACTAGGAAGGTGGTTGTGTCAGCGTTGTGTCTAAAAACCGCTTCTAAGTTAAACGTACTGTACACTGAAGCTGGTGCCCCGGTCTCTGAAGATTGAATATCCACTTTGATCAATCTGTTTGACGATCAGGTGTCCACATTCATCTTATCTTTCCCAAAAATCTTTTGAAGACACCGAATGGCATCAGATTCAAATATATTGTTCTAAAAACTGATTGGTGACTTTTGGATTCATTACCTGTAGTGTAAAGTTACTTCAAAGTGTCAAAGAATGCTGAATATCTGTCTATGTTAAGAAAGATAACGCAGTCAATCAAACTAAAAACATTTGAGATCTTAGTGTCTCGACAAGCAATTTCATGCCTGAGCTGTTACATTGGAATTATTTCTAAAAGACGGGTTGGCTATGTTCAAATTAGGCCTACTGTCGGCGGAGTCATCGGGCAGAAATAGTAGATACAAAACTTTATTCTAAATTAAAGTTTCTTTCTTTTTGATTCTTTCGACAATCTGTACTCAAAACAGGATTATAGCCGGCATTTTACGTGTGCTTCTAACCGTCTCAATCAAATTTAATATTGAATTTTACTTCAACTTTATTTCAAGAACGAATGGGGTAGGCCAAATTCGTGAGTTTTAGTGTAAAGTAATAATAATAATTATTATTTATCTATATTTTATTATTATTCCTTACTGCATACTACATCTTCATATCCCTTCACATTTTTCCCAGGCCTGTGTTTGCTTTATGGTGTTAAAGACAGAGAACAAGTAACGGTGGTTTATAGGCTTGCGTTTTGAACTCTCAATAGCTTATAAGATGCAACGGATGGCTGTCGTATCTTACGAGCTGCTACTTAGTTATACGGTAAGGGGCATCCATTTTAAACATCATTTTCAGAAATCTGGGGAAGGGGGGGGGATGGGGAGTAATGCCTTCTGTGCGTTTTTGAAAATGATTAAAATGACGATCCAAATGTCATCTTTTTTTGGCTTTCAAAGGTCATCATTTTTTAGCTTTTCACCTTGTACTCTCTGAAGGGGGGGGGCTGGAAATAGTTTACTCTACATGCAATGAGAATGGTGAAAAATAACAAACGTAAAATGTCAAGATGATGGATTTATTTTACTTCCATTACATGTAAAAGAGTATGACATTGAGCATCGAATAATTTTACTCAACCATGAAAATATCACATTATGCTTTCATATGGGATGGCTCGTGATGACACAAACATAGTTTGTATATAAAATATGCATAATACATCACTTGGGCGAGAAAACTCATCTTTGTCTCAACAAAAGAAAGAGATCCAGAAGATCGGCCAATACTTTAGTGGGCCAAAGTGACAATAAAACCTTTCCTATTGCAACTTCACAAAATGAACACGTTGAATGAAAATTAATGACAATAGTTATTTTCAAATATGAGAATCCCCTTTTCTATATTTCTGAAATAGTAAAATCTCTGAAGTTATTTTGTTGCCCGTTTGACTTATGAAAATAGTATCTTAAGGCTTATCAATTATGTTTACCTATCAATTTCAGGTTGCTTCAATCGCAATTGTTAGGCTTGACAGACTTAATATGTATTCGTGCGAACAGGCGTTTGCATACATAATACTATTTTTAAACCTCGACATCGTTGAGTCTAATTTCGTGTATTACTCCACAATCCAAAGTCAAATTGCCCGAGTAGCAACTGGCCACTTGAAGTGCTTCTGATTCTATACACAGTCCTTCTTAAAACAATATAATAATGCAACAAAATATCCTAATGCCTTTTAGCTGCGTCATCGTTTTATATCACTACTGTAAGCTCTGAACAAACGACAACATTCTCGTAACTGCCCCCTTAATATTTAGCTAGCTACTTGTAGAATTGGTTCTCTCTGCGTGGCGTGTATTATATCTATCAACTATTAAACTAACCTCAGGCGTCTACGCTCAACCATTCCTTTCACGTTTTTACTTGTAAATACTACAACTGGAGTGAAAAAGCTAGGTCCATGGGCGAAGATACACTATTTAATATTTTCGATTCAGTGGCTTTAGACATTCACTCATTGAGATCATTGAATTCATAGCACGGTCAATCTGACTGTTTGTCAGTGATAATATATTAAATTATAAAACAATAGGAAATTTTTAAGTGCCAAAAAGAATAATTGACATAACTGATTTTAAAATTTCGATTATGTAAATCTAGTCTACTAATAATCGGACCGTCCTTTCTTCTTACATTTAATTTGTTTTGCATTACGTCACAAGCATTATGTCACGCTCTCTATGCCACGTCACGTAGGTCACGGCTTTTCTCAGTCCATAACACATTTTAATCATCACCGGGGTAAATAGGTGAAAGACCTATCAGATCACATTGTGTATTTAATACACGTTCAGTCAGAACGCCTCAATGTCTGCAACAATCCATCGGTTTCAGCGAATTTTTAATGTCGTTTATATATATATATATATATGTATATACGTAATATATACCTTCTTAAATAAATTGTCACTTATTTTTTTGCGTTTCCCTTTCTAAAAAATTCAACGCAGTTCGCAACTTGTCCCAGCAGTACCAGCTGTATGTATATTAAGGATTTCTGTATCCAATTGAACACCCATCCCTCATGACAACGCTTAGGCAGCCATACCATCTCGAATGTCGTCTTCACTTTGTTGACAAAAATTAACATATATACATGGATACTGTTGTCATTGGTGACACGTCACTCAGGCACACAATGGAGTGCAGGGCAATCCATCCCACTTAGCATCCAGGAGATAGTTAACCCAAGGCGCACAGTTGTCGAACGTATGTCGAACATTGAATATATCGGCAGCCCAGGTCAGGAAATTAATTTTACCTTTTAGCGTCTTATTCATCCAGTCATCACTTAGTAGTAAACATTAGGCGAATCTGTGTATTGCCAGGTTGCGCCGCCTGTTATCAATCAACCAGCGCCATTTGTTCCCGTGTCGAAATGAAGGCACCATGAAATAAAGGTACCCCAGCTGATGTATACATGTATGTAAATGTGTGTGTGTGTGTGTGTGTGTGTGTGTGTGTGTTAAATAGCAAGCTACATATAGGTTGCTAGACGTTAAGAATAGAGAAATATCCTAGACTGTTTTCTGTCTTTCCAGTCAGGACTGTCACAGTAAATAGCGACGTTATTCCTCGCCCTCAGCCTCATGAAGACTCTAAGTGCACCCACATCTCTCCACCTTCATTCCAGGCAATACACCATACACAATATTCTGGGAATCATCAAAATACAGCATAGACACCTGAGACAATTTTAGCGGCGTGCAACACGGCCCGGCGAAACCCATGGGATTAGCTTGCTGTACCACGTGTGTGTGAAGATAGCGCTGTTGGAAGACGTAGGGACACTCCCCAGAGCAATAGTTGGCCCGGTAAGTCTTAGGTGCTATGATCCAATCCCAACCAAACTGTGTAAAGTCCACAACAAGGGGGTAGCGACAGCACCTTGAATATAAAAGGAAAACATTCAGTCAAATTGTGCGGTAATATATGAAGATCAATGCCTACGCGAACTCAAATCTTATGCGCCCAGTGAAAATGATGATTTTTCTTTTTCCTGTGTCAAATTTTAAGTTTTTTTTTCTGTTGAGCACAGCTAATTAAATGGTACATTATCAGAAATGCAAAATTTGTTTTGATATTGTTGGATCTGACAGTGAATTTGTTTAGACATTCTCTTGGTGTATCTGTCTGTGGTCACCGGTGGAGAGTGCAAGAGCAAGGCAGTACCTTTCCTCCATGGACGTTTCGTCGCACTCCAGCCCTAACATGCGGCGTCTGCGGTTTTGGCCTCGCTCCTGGATTCTGACTTGTATGAATGGCAGCTGAAATGCAGAGAAGTTTGCTTCGCTGAGGAAGGCTAAACCTTACAGGAAATGTGTAATTTGGGTTTCAGATAAGAAAGTAAGAAATTATTTATATTATTTTGGAATCATCACTCTTTACAGTCAACTTCGCTAAACCCGTCAGCAACGAAGCTGGCCTTATTTAGGACGTCATAATTGTTGGGTATGGGTCTGTGATGTCACAGTGTGATCTCACACGTCATAATTGTTGGGTATGGGTCTGTGATGTCACAGTGTGATCTCACACGTCATAATTGTTGGGTATGGGTCTGTGATGTCACAGTGTGATCTCACACGTCACTTCCAATTAAAATGAACTCACGTAAGCTTTCTCTTCATCATCATCGGGCTGCGTAACGGGCAATATTTTCCCCAGATTGTCGACAGCCTCTACCATCAGTCCATAGTTGGTGGTGGGGTTTCTAACCCAGGACTGAATGGTACGTTTAACGTCTAAATGAACCCAGGTGCCTGTGCTACGGAGCGGGGTGAACTTCTTGGTGCCTATGCGAACTTTAGCGACAGGTGCCCCGGGAATCTCTGGCGGGAGAAGTTTATATACGAGCAGATAGAGATCTTGATGATGTGCCACTGCAGTGGGGAGGGTGTAAACCCACAGATGAGATCTGACTATCTTGGAGTTCACCACTTGTGGTTGGAAGGTAAAGTAGATGGCCCTAGAGTCGTTGACGCCTAAGGCTCGCGGTGCTAAAAGTGAAATAGTTGAATGATTAGTTGTCTTTCACTTTTTATAGAAAAGTCTACTGAACAAATTGGATTTTAGACTCGATAGTTAATTTTATTACTATGATTGTTATTAACTAAAAGTTGGCCGCACGCATATGCAGTGAATCTTTACTTAAAATTACATATGAAGCAAGCTTTACTTAAAATTACATATGAAGCAAGCATATACTAGTTTCTTGCACATGTACGACTCAAATAAAGCCCACATGCCAAAAGATTAACCGAATTAAACACTAGGCCAGCCAAAAAAAAAGGAGGGGGGGCGCTAATCCTTCTTCAAATTTCTGCTTCGCGTGCAAGAACACAAATACTGAAATGAGTGGTGACCGAAGGATAAAGCGCAGCATAAAAACAGAATATATCTGTTCAAATATCGTTTTCGGGAAGTATGAGACGATGCCCTTTGGTATTTCTTCAAGTTATGATATTCGAAACAACATGTATATTATGGGCTTTGGTCGGGTTTGGTGGCAAACATTTGACTTCATACGTAATAACTTAAAAGTGGTTAGATGCATTAGAGGCCAAGTTTCGGGGGATACAACAAATGAGTAAAAAATCAATTGGCCGTGTCAGGGTCTTTTAGGAACTCTTTTCCGGTAATATTCAGGGTATAAAGTTGTTAATTTTTCAAAATGCACCTCTGTTGAAAGTATACCGCTAGATGTAAGTAATGACGAAATCTACGTGGAGCAAACATTATATTTCTTATTCAAACGTACAGGTCTTTAACCTGCATTCGGGTGTCCGGCTACATTTCCTCAATTAAATGATTGAACGCGAAGTATATGAAAATGAAGCGTAATTATCGAAACCTTTCGTTGAAGAAATACGAACGCTGAAGTCAGAGAGCAGAGTTAGGAACTCCGATGACTTCACATTCCGAATTGTAGTCTATTGTTAAAACTGGTTGTGTAGAATTCACATTCCTCTTGTCACGCCATACATATCCTTCATGTTCAAACTTGAGCCCCAGGTCAAAATTACTACTAATTTTAGCCAACACAAAATGAAGTATTTTTACCTTTTGCCAAAAAGTTGTCTGTTTCCTTTTGGTTAAGCATGAAACATCATACTTCCTAAAGCGTTAAGTGACAAATGTATACATGTACCATATGGAAAGTTCATTTGTGCTCCCCCGCGCTTCCAGGCACAGAGAGACCTGGCCTATCTCCGGGTATGCCTACATTTTTGTTTGTTTTTTCGCTTCATATAATTGCTGGTTTAATGCCACAAAGGTGTGTTCTAGACCACGCCTGATATGAAACTAAGTACTGTGGGTTCCAGATCTGTGTGTTAATGACAAGGGAAAGAGTCAAGAACACACACCGCAGCATACCTGGCTCCAGGCAAGTACAAAGAACATGTCTGACATATATTTAAATAATATCTAAAACTCCACATAGGCAAGTGAGGAGAAATGTCAAAAAATACTTAGTATTCTTAAGATATTTGGAATTCAGCATAGTTATAAAGAGTAAGTGTAAGGAATTTGTGACTAACTTGAACAAATTCGCTGTCAGATCCAAAAATATTAAAACACATTTTGCATTAATAGTGGTAAGAATAAGTTTTTAAATCTATTATTATTGCTATTTTTCCTTCAAAGGATCCTTTTCAATACAAGATACTGTCTAATCAAGGGATGATATTTCGGGTGGCTGTAAAATGGCTTCAGAAAAAGGAATAAAAGTAAATAAATAACAAGGCAGCAAAGTTGTCAAATGCATAGACAAAAGGAAGAAAATAATGATGCACAAAATAGGCTACTGTCAATACTGATGTAATAATACATTATGCTTAACTGCCAAGTCAGCATCAAATTGGCACAATTTTGAGTGTAAAAAACCACCCTTTTCCAGCGTATGAAAAATAACGTTTTAGCAGCGTTGAATAGCGTATTGGAAGCGTATTAAAACCGTATAACGTGCATCTGAATACCGTATGAGTCATTTTAATTACTCTTACTTATGGCCCTGTCACACCTTGACGATTTAGCAAGCGAACGTATGAAAAAATTGGCCAATACGCTGGCGTCGAATAAGTTATGGGTAAGTTTTGTATATGTTAAGAGCACGCTGAAGCACGCCGGCATACGTCGTAGTACGTCCATGTAGTCCAAAAATTTTGTGCATGCACAAAACTTTTCGACGTATGTCAACGTATGATTCATACGTCCCGCATACGCGGGCAATAAGTTATGCAATCGTTGACGCCCGTTCACACACGTTATGTGTAAGTTACTCACAAGTCGTAATACGTCAAGATAATATCAAGCGTACCCAAGACGTTTGTTCAACCTATGATTAACGTGCTTTGAACCTATGTGTAACTTATATCGAAATTACCTCCTACACACATTGACATATTTAGACGTATTTGACGCGTTCCGAACAACCCCAGAACTTACTGAACGTGGTGCTAACGTTGAGCTACCGTATGATGGCGTGTTGGCAGCGTTTAGGGGAATTGGGGTATAAAAAAGGGGTTCGGCATGACAGTGATGTTGACTGCGGCATGACTGCGATGTCTAGTGAGGTTATGATTTGAGTCATCAAGTGGCAGTCTTTTTATAGGCTACGGCACGTGATCGTCGGCCATACGCTGCAGTGCGGTATGCATAAGTTAAACTGGCGTTGGGCATAAGTTGTGAACGCCGGCAACACGCTTGGTATAAGTTGTCTATAAGTAATAAAAACGTTCTATGTTAGTTACTATTACGTAATGTATACGCCGAACTCGTTATGAATACGTTATGTATACGCCAAAAATTGAAAAAAAAAAAAAAAACGACGACAGTTCAACGTATGCCATCAAAATGATCTCGTCGGGCATACGCTGGAGAAATCGTCAAGGTGTGATAGGGCCATTAAAAGGTGGTTCATCGTATGTGTAACGTATATGCACGGATATATAAACCGTTATGAGTAACGCATGAGTACCGTACATCACGTTTGAGTAACGTATATGAGCGTTATGTATGCTTAGCGTCAGTATTTAAGCGTATGCTTAACGCACATGAGAGTATGAGTAATGAATGGGTAGCGTTTTATTGAAAATTATCAAGTGCTTACTGAATCCAATCCAACTGGTGCTAGAAAATATCTACGTCTCCTTTCCATCTGGGGAGGCTGTGCTAAAAATTCGCAAATTGAACCCTTATTTTACCACAAATGAAAATAGGATTCGTTTGTCATACGGTTACCATGCGTTAGGTGAATGCAAAATGCGTTCGGCTAATACAGGCAAAGGATATGTAAATATACGGCAGACATACGTCCCATACGTTACTAGTTCGTCAGTGTTGCGTTGCATTTACACTATATATACACTGCGTATATCAAACCACTATATTGGAGGCCAGCTGTTACGTATGCTTAGCGTCAGTATTGCTTATACGTCGTATGATGTTGTAGGACTTTAACGCTGAACATTTTGAACATATTCAAAATTCTTTTCTTTCTGCGAAAGTAAGCGTACAGCAACGTTACATGCGTATGCAAAATAACCAAAAAGTTTGTCTGCGTTTTCATAAGTTAGTGCAATATGCTATAGTGTGACAGTGCCACATTTTTGGGTCCTTTTGGGTAACGTTTAGGTTATAATATTGACACTTATACGAAATACAGTTCATTTGTGGTTTTAGCAACTCTTTAATAAAGTTCATTTTTGTGTTAAATCATAACAATAGTTAGTGGACTGCGAACTGCATCAGATTCAATCGGTGTTGTAAACGAGCTACCCCCATCCACTCCAACTGATAAAGCTATGATGGTTAAGTGAAATAATAGTATATTTATACCACAGATTACAAAGCGTTGGGATAAGTTTTCCAACACCAATCAAGCGTTAGACATACGCTTAACACGCTAATCGATCGTTACAGATACGTTCAACACGTTATTCGTTCGCGGGCACTGCGTTAATGATGCATCAACGCGTTACTTGTGCATCACCGTATGAGAAAAGTACTTTATCACAATTTTAACGTCATTCTACCGTATGCCTACCGTATCCCTAACGTATGGGTAACATACCACTCAAACGCTCGTATACGCTGAAAATTATTCTAAAAATATCTCCCTCTATGTATGCGAGCGTACACCAACGTTTACCTACATACGCGAAACGTATACAAACGAAGCCCTTGCGTTTGTATGCGTGTATGTAAATTTCTTCATTCGCCGGAGATATAAGCCATAACAGGGCCTTTACAATATAATCTCTTAAGAGATTATAACAAAAAAATTATAATAAAAAACAAAGGCATAATTTTGAATGTCGGAAAGGATTCATTATAACCATTGGAAAGTACGGGGGAATTGTCGTTTACCCAGGATAACCCGTTCATGGCACTTTTTCCACCAAAATGAAGAGTTGTCATCCCGTCAAATTACTGAGAAAAAGACATTGGTTGATGATCTGGTCAGTGCTTAAAAAGATAAAATTTTAATTTACCTGACCTCTTACACTTGTCGGAGGTGTCTGCACCCTATTTCTTTATTCGTACGGCACTTAAGTATGGTAAATGGTTTTCATTCCACAATGATTTGCTCGGTTAAAGAAGTATTTTTAACATTTTAATTATACTCTCTGAAAAAAAAAAATGCCAGAAAAAGCTAAAGCCAGCAAAAAGAATTTCCCACATTGTGAACATGGCTGCAAGCATTTCGATATACTCTTCATTTCTCATGTGCAGAAACGATCATAAAAAGATTAGAAATTACGTTGTGCTACATTTGGATTTGATGTAATAAACTACTTTCCAATGAAGATCAAATATTGAACCCTGCAGGCGGGTGTGACATGATCTATGACCACCGCTTAGTGAAACAATTGAATTTATATTACGGCTGACTTTGGAAGCAGATAGTTTGATCGCCCTTTCCTTGTACTATGCTGGAGCATGTGTTTTCTTGCATAGGGAATAGTATTTTAACGCCCGTTAAGAATTTGTATGA